GCTACTCTGCGTACTAAAGTTGTACTACCAAGTCGCCACTTCTCATCTTCCAGCTCCCCCGCTACTCCGCGCACTACAGTTGTGCTGTAAAATCGCCCCTTCGCAGCTACTACCCACTAACCAGTTCTCATCTTCCCACTCCCCAGCTACTCTGCGTACTAAAGTTGCACTGCCAAGTCGCCAGTTCTCATCTTCCCACTCCCCGGCTGCTCTGCGCACTAAATTTGTACTACCAAGTCGCCAGCTCTCATCTTCCAGCTCCCCAGCTACTCCTCGTACTAAAGTTGTACTACAAGTCGCGAGTTCTCAGCTACTACCCGCTCATCAGTTCTCATCTTCCCACTCCCCAGCTACTCTGCGTACTAAACTTGTATCACCAAGTCGCCACTTCTCATCTTCCAGCTCCACAGCTACTCCGCGTACTAGAGTTGTACTACGCAGTCGCCAGTTCTCAGCTTCCAGCTCCACAGATTGCTCCGCGTACTGAAGTTGTACTACAAAGTCACCAGTTCTCAGCTTCCAGCTCCCCAGCAGCTCCGCGTACTACAGTTGTACTACCCACTCGCCAGTTCTCATCTTCCCGCTCCCCAGCTACTCCGCGCACTACTCTCGCACTACCACGTCGCCAGTTCTCCGCTTCCAGCTCCCCAGCTACTCTGCGTACTATTATGATGTAAAATAGCTAGATAAGACAAGGGGGTCTATAACTTAAAATTAAAAATAGAAAAAAGTCCAAACTCGCTTCAAAAGTCCAACCAAAACTCACCTCTCACCAGGCAAGTCCAAGCAAAACTCAAAAGTTCAAGGCAAAGTCCAAGCAAAACTCACAGGTTCAAAGGAAAGCTCAAGCGAAACTCAAGGAGCTAGGGAAACCAGGGAAGCGCCCGCTCAGCAAGTTTTGGGCGAGCTTTGCGCGAGCTTTTGACGAGCTTTTGACGAGCTTTGGTAGAAGAAAACTAGACAAAAGCTCAAATCGAAGCTCAAAAACTGAATGCGCACGAGCTTTTCACGAGCTTTCTGCGAGCTTAGCTCGAAATAAACTAGCACCGAACTCACCACGACGCTCACGCCACGGGAAACTACTTTTGCGCGAGCTTTAATTGGACTTTCCCTGAGTTTTGCTTGAACTTTTTTATGATCAGTTGAATTTGCTTTGGACTTTCCTGTTGACTCTTGAGCTTCCATTGGACATCAGCACAGCACAAGCGAGTTTTAAGCGAGCTTGAAAACGAGTTTTGGGCGAGCTTTAAGCGAGCTTAAGAGGCCCCTGTCTTATCTGCTATTTTACGTCATAAGCGTACTAGAGTTGCGGTACCAAATCGCACTCTCGTCTGCATTTCGCGCCCTCGACACGCACGATCTCCGCAGAGGGTTGCGCGGGCAGCCGGCAAATCACACTCGCCTGCATTTCGCGCACTCGACTCGCGCGATCTCCGCAGAGGGATGCGAGGGCAGCCGGCAAATCGCACTCTCGCCGGCATTTCGCGCACGATCTCCGCAGAGGGTTGCGCGCGGACCGGACAAATCGCACTCTCGCCTGCATTTCGCGCGCTCGACACGCACGATCTCCGCAGAGGGTTGCGCGGGCACCCGGCACATCGCACTCTCACCTGCATTTCGCGCACTCCACACGCACGATCTCCGCAGAGGGTTGCGCGGGCACCCGGCACATCGCACTCTCACCTGCATTTCGCGCACTCGACGCGCACGATCTCCGCAGAGGGTTGCACTTTCGGTTGACGCTGTTCGTCCCACCCTCCGCCTTTAAGAGAGAATTTATAAAGTGGGGAAAAGTTTTTTCATTAGGACATCTCCCGTGCTAGTTCACTTGCATACTTACACTTGCATACTTACACTTGCATACTTCCACTTGCATACTTTGACAGCTTTCGCTCTTCCACTTACACAGGGCTACGTATAGCGTTCATGTTATTTATCCTGCCAGTGTGGTGAAAGTGTCAATGTCTAGGTGTGTCTGAGTGTAAGTGTCGAAGTGTCAGTGTTCAAAGGATTTTCCGGAAGAACCCTTCGCAATGCTTTCGGGAATCAACCTGAATTGATTTGGTGTCCAAATTGTTTGATAAACCTGCGTTTCACAAGAACAGCTTTAGAGTGGATTTAGCAACCAGGGGCTTTGTCTCAGCGTCGAGAACGCGAGCTGAGGATGAGAACCCGCCGGGCGCAACCCGTGTCTTCGAGGGGGAAGTCTCAAGCCTCCAAACGCGACTTGAAGACGTCATGTTCTTTCTTTTTGTTATTCCTTTTCCTTAAGCCATATATATTGCAATATATGAATTTCAACTATTATAAAGTATGTTAGACTGGTCACTTGTTCTTTCTTTTGGACCTTTCCTGGCCAGTTTCTATTTGTTTTGCTTCGTCACGTCGGTTCTGCTTCCACCCTGTCCTCAAAGCCAATTTGGTCGCGTCTTTAGATTCTTTTCCTCAGGCATAAATCTGAGGAGGTCTGTCTTGGCAGCTTCCTGAGGCATCCACGATCTTTGGCATCACCTCGAGAAGGAAGAATATAATGTTGTATGCCAAGATTTCATGCCACTTCTTCTATACAAACAATCTAAAACATGTCACTCAAATGCTCGTGCATTTGGTTTTACAAAAATCTTGTATCGTGTCACTGCCTTGCAGAAACAATTCAAAACACGTTTTTTTGCGCCCAAGGGGCTCTCTTTCAAAAGTTGCCCGGTAGACTGAGCGCGCTTGAGACTTTTCTTGTCAACTTTGCCTTCGCTTGGCTCACCTCCGGCACCTCTGGCTTTGCCTTCTCTTCTGTCGGCTTTGCCTTCTTCTTTTTCGTCTTTCTTCGGACCTAGTGACAAGTGCATCGCTACTAGGAGCAAAGAAGCTACTAGGGGCTCCTGGCCTTACTACTAGGAGCAAAGAAGCTAGTAGAAACTTGTGGCCCAGAGGGGGTGGCGAAAGCTAGGCAAAGAAACAGCGCTGGGGCTCTTTAGGCAGCAAAAGCCTGGCCGGGAATCGCAACATGCCATGGCCAAGGGAAAAGGAGAGTGCCAACAGCGCCCCCCCAATACGACCCTAACACAGCCAACACATGGCAACACACAACCACCCCAGCAACCGCAGCAGCAGCAGCAGCAACAGACACAACAACAGTAACTGTAACCAGCAGCGGCAGCGGCAGCAAGCAGAAGCTCCCAAGCAGCAGCAGAAGCGGCAGCAGGAGTAGCTAGCAAGCAGCAGCACCGGCTACCAAGCAGCAGCAGCAGCAGCAGGAGCAGCTACCAAGAAGCAGCAGCAGCAGCTACCAAGCAGCAGCAGCAGCAGCAGGAGCTACCAAGCAGCAGCAGCAGCTACCAAGCAACAGCAGCAGCAGCAGTAGCAGCATCAGCAGCAGCTACCAAGCAGCAGCAGCAGCAGCAGCTACCAAGCAGCAGCAGCAGCTACCAAGCAGCAGCAGCAGCAGCAGCAGCTACCAAGCAGCAGCAGCAGCAGCTACCAAGCAGCAGCAGCAGCTACCAAGCACCAGCACCAGCAGCAGCTACTAAGCAGCAGCAGCAGCAGCTACCAAGCAGCACCACCAGCCACCAAGCAGCAGCAGCAGCAGGGAAAGAGTGAGCTTTCCTTAGAGTCTTTCGTGCCCCAACATTTGGTCTCGAACACTAGCACATATAGGTGCTGCCTGAGTGATTGTAGAAGGGCGACGTGGAAAGACAGATATATCTGTTTGTTCCACGAATAAATGCTGACGATGCAGCCAGCAGCGGTGTGCATGATTGACATCTAGGGGTTGCATGCGAACATGTGTCAGCGACCGAAGATTCCGTCGCAACGCTTGTGCATGCTCCCTGTCGCTCGAACATGCAACGCGGACTACCATGAGTGAAGCAAACAGCCCGTTCAAACATCTTACTGGGTTCTGTCATTCATGTGTGTAGAAAGTATCATCTTTTGATCTGCATGGATAGCGGATAGTGCATTCTGATTTGTACTCTTGGGGGTTGTGGGGTGGGTACATGCCTGTACAAGCTTCTTAAGGATATAATGAAATTAGCATCGTTTCACGACTCAGAGGGAATGCAACTACTCTCAATTCTAACGAATAGGCTTTCTTCAGCACCAACAGCAGCCAACAACCCCAAACAGCAACAGCAGCAAAACGGAGCAGACAACAAGCAGCAGGCAGCCAGCATCCAGCAGAAGCAAGCAAGCAGCAAGCAGCAGCAGCAGCAACCAAGCAGCAGCAGCAGCAGCAGGTACCGAGGAGGAGAAGGGTGGAGTTGAACCCCGCGAGGGGGGGTGGGGGGTGTAGTCCTGATATATCAGGTAATAGCACTCAGGTCCTGGGCTCCCACCCTCCTTGCTAAAGCAAGACAGACTCCAGCTAGCTACAGCTAGCTTTCGTGACAAGTGCATCGCTACTAGTGACATGTCTGATCATGCCCAACAGGAGCTCTGCAGTCACAGGACCGCGTTTTCCCGCATCGTCATATCGCGGGATGCATGCATGTGTGTATTTCTTTGTTCCTTTCTCCAGACCTTTCACAATGCGTTGGAGTGTTCTTTAAGATTGTTGTTTCTTATCCATTGTTCTTTGCAGACGTTTAGACCTTCTCTTCTTTTGTACCTTCTCCATTTCTCGTTTCCCTTTCTTGGTGTAAAACGTTGGGGCCCACGAGGCCTACGACACTGTCTGCTGAAAACAATAAGCATATTGTTACTAGTAGCGATGCACTTGCTTCTAATAGCTTCTTGTTACTACTAGTAAGGCACTTGTTACTAGTAGCGATGCACTTGTTACTACTAGCGTGGCACTTGTTCCTAGTAGCGTCCATTGCTGTTTACAAACAATTGGTTTCTGTCCTTTTCCGTGTTGTTTTGCCCATGTGCTAAAAAAGAAAAACAAGGTCTGCCAGAAGTAGCCAAGAGAAGCTACGCGGACAACTTGCTGGAATTCCAACACTCCCCGCTGCGCTTTGGGGGCAAATGTGCCGACATACCGGACGTCTGCGTGCAAAACTGCAAAACCCAATCGAACCATTGACGAAGCACCAGATTTCTTATACCGAAATGGGAAGTGTGACAAGTCTGGCAAATTACAGGCTTGCCGTGTTAACGTTTTGATGATCTAGGCAGGATTTGAATCCAAGGCAGCATATGGCGCATTCTTGATCCATAGCAGCCAAAAATTCCCTGTATAGTGGGAATCGTTTCCCCTGTAGGAACAAGAAACTTTTAGTATGTCTTTGAAGCTGCTAGTAACAAGAAGCTACTAGGTGGAGGTACAGCCAAGAGAAGCAAAAGCCAACGGAAAGTCTTTTGACGTGATCTAATTTTTGGGCTTGTGGGGGGCGGCTTCTTTGGCCGCTGTTAGCATCTGGCTGACCGGCTTCTAGATGCTTGTAGTGATTCTAGTAGCTTTAGCCTTTGATGGCTAGCGTTTTGTTGCATGTTGGTGTGGCTTTTGATGGCTTGCTTTTGATGGTTCTTGTCCATTTCGTTGGCTGTTGATGGTATTTGATATGAAGTGCGCGCAATCGTGCCTTTGACGTGCTACAGGTTCAACACCATTATGAACATGCATGACCCTGTGCGCACAGCGCAACAAAGGTCAAGCAGGATTCAAAGCGTTTGAAAGGAGCATACATTAAAAGAAACATACTAGTAACATTTATAAAATACCTTCTAATATCGAAGTCGAACTTTTTCTCAGTCATTTTCTGCACCGATTCTTCTAAGGCACTTCGCCGAGGTCTTGCCTTGCGTCTTGGCACTTCTCCTCTCCTGCACGCCGAACACTGGACACAAAGAAATAGCGATGGCCTCCGACCTACCAGCGTTCCGATGATTGTGTTTTTCCAGCCTTGCTTGCATGAACCACTTGTGCTTCAGGGCTCTCTCAGCCGTAAATTCAGCTCCTCCGACTTGTGGTCAACACAGGTTAAGTTTCCCAAAAATCCAAGAACCCAACCAATCATGCAAGCCTGATCTCTTCAGCATCTTAATTGTCCAAGGTTTGCTACTTGTTAGCTTCCAAGGTGCAGGCTACCCTGTCCCCTCACAAAAAAGAACACATGTCGTATAGGAACAAGAAGCTACTAGTAGCTAGAAGCTACTAGGTGGAGGCCATCGCTATTAGGTTGGAGGCCATCGCTACAAGGAGCAAGGACGCTACTACTAGATGCTACTAGTAGCTAGTCCGTCATCGCAGACAAACACTTGGCTCCTGCAAATCGGTTCAGTAAGTCCGACGCAGCCCTACTGATGGCCACAGCAACACCTCCTTCGCTGTACACAAATGCATCCGCAACAGGTCCCTGCACCAACGGAAACTGTATGAAACTGTGATGCACCAAAGAGAACGGCAAGAAACATCGATCGAGACGCTTGACCGAACCAAATCGCAGCCACAAAGACTTACACCTCCTTTTGCTTGTTATTTTTGATGTTCTTGCTTTAGCCCGTTCTGCCTTTTAACTTTTATCTTAGATTTTGTATTTGTCGGGCGCCGTAGCCAAGCCTTCGACGTATGATTTGCTTCCCTCAAAGAGGAGCCCTTTGTTCCACAGCACCATCCCAGCAATGCCTCCCATCAGGACGTGAGTTTGGACCTAAAGATAGGGATTGCAAGCGCTTCTTCAAGGAAACTCCCGAGGGCGGAGGGAGCTTGCTTGAAGAAGCGCGAACTATCCTGCATCCTAGCTAGTAGCTTACTCCCTTAACTAAGTATAGGACCCTCGGTCAGAAGCCTAGTTTAGGCCTAAAGCCTCCAACGCATTGAAGACGTTTCTGTCACCGTCTCCCGGTCTTTCGACCCTCATCACCAAGCCGGTCGAGGGGATGTCAGGCGTTCGGCTTCCAGCGAAGGCCCCGAAGTCGATGAGCTTTGTTACCTCGCAAATGCAAGAGGACGCTACTAGGAGCAAAGGGCATCGCTACTAGGAGCAAGGACGCTACAAGGGGCTCCTGGCCCTACTACTAGGAACAATGCTTGCTATTAGTAACAAGAAAATAACAAGAAGTCAAGTTATATAATCTAAAATTAATTGCCACGCGGAAACAAATGCACGGCCGAACCCTTGTGTCATAAGGGCCTACGTCGCCATCTTGGCTTATTTTGCAACTTTATTTCAGAAAGTCAATTATATATGTTTTGTCCCTTCCAACAGTTTCCTTCGCTGATCAATGCTCCTAGTAGTAAGGCCAGGACCCCCTAATAGCGTCCTTGCTCCTAGTAGTAAGGCCGGGAGCCCCTAGTAGCGTCGTTGCTCCTAGTAGTAAGGCCAGGAGCCCCTCATAGCGTCGTTGCTCCTGGTAGTAAGGCCAGGAGCCCGAGCCCCTCATAGCGTCCTTGCTCCTAGTTAGTACCCCTACTAGCGTCCTTGCTCCTAGTAGTATGAGCCTAAAACCGTGCTCTTCGGATAGTGGCCATGGCTTCCCAGAAAAGTCTAACAAACTTTGTTCAGGCCCGGCAGCGGCCGCGGGGGCCCCCGGCTGCAATTCCGACACAGGGACCATATGGGACTTTCAGCTCAATGGTTAAATGGATAGATGGTCTTAGACGATGTCAAGTGTTAAAGACGAGACTGTAAATGTAGAGACCAGGAAGGCGGGAACGTACCATTTTACTTTTTCTCCTTGCACAGTGGCGTCACACACCATCCTCCAGCTCTATTGTTTGTGGTTGCTTGCAGGACCTGTCTGGTAGCTGAATAAGGTCTTCCTGATAATGCTGTTCTGTCACTCCCTAAAACTGAGCCACCCCAACATTCTGCTCCGGTGGCTTGTCAAAATGCAGCATTAGCACCTCAAAACTGTAACAGAACCTCCCTCTTCAGTGCTCCTTGTCTTGCAAAGGTTCAGAGTAAGTACCGCCGAGACAAATCGTTTAGAGTTGTTTCGTGCCGCTGAAAAGTAGCGTCCTTGCTCCTAGTCGCGATGCTAGTAGCTACGTTTAGTGCGCTATACACTCTGAGGATCTGGCGTTGGCAGGGCAAATGTCGCCATGGCTGAGAGACTGCATTTGAAGATAGCAAAGGGCACCCAAAAGCTGCCACCTGAAAGAACACAGAACCCAAATTCCGATCTTTTGAATAGGGGATAGTCGGGGGTAAGCGGTGAATAGGCTTAAGTACACAAGAAACGTCTACCTAGGACGAGGGAAAGCTTAAGTTTCCAAGAGCCCCCTCAGCCGCTTGGAGAGTTTCCTTGAAGAAGCCCTCACACCAGTCATTTGGTTCTTAGATTTTGTTGGAAACCTTTTTTTGGGGGGTAAGAAGCTAAACTGTAAGGTAGGACCAGGTAGCTAGCGAGTTGGCAGCAAAAGAACCTTGTATATAATTACACGCAAGGACGCAGCTGAAGTGCGATCCTTCAAATTTTCTTCCGAAAGGTGAGTGGGAGATATTTCTTTGAAGAAGGAACTCTTGCTGTATTAGCGGTCCTAGATTTTAACAAAAAAGGACGCAAGCAGCGCACCATTTTTGTTCAAGACAAACGCACTAATTTGAAGAAGCTGAGAGGGTTAATGCGACGCCTTTTTCAGTTCCAGCTCTTCGTGCAAGGTCCGACCCATATTCCACTACTTCATGTGATTCGTGCTTCAAATGCATGTGATGCAATGTCTTTCATGGCGATGGCATTGCACAACGACAACCCACGAAGAGCTTTGATCACGACCCCTGATCTCATCCCATCCATCCATCCATCCAGTTGTCCATCCAAGCATCCGGCCCTCCCCGAGCATCCATCAAGCCCCATGCCACCACTACCCGAAATCCCTACCCAAAAACTCACAGACTGAAACTTCAACCTGCAGCGGTCCCGAAACGGCCGCATACACCCTCATCCACTCGCTCGAAAAAGCACACGCTGCACGCAAATGCCAGGAGTATATAATTCCCTTCCGGTTGAAAAAGCTTTGGATCGTTTCCCATCGAGGCGATAGTTTGAGGAGATAGTTGAGGCCAAGGCAGGATGACAGCAGCAGCTGCCTGGCCGTGCACTCACAAGGGCACGCTGGGCACGTGTGCTTCAACAGCTTGTACAAAACACAAACTAAAGACTGCAACGTAAAATAAGGGTGTAGGAGGCCATCGCTACTAGGGTGGAGGCCATTGCTAGTAGCTGCTAGTAGGTTGGAGGCCATTACTACAAGTAGCAAGAAGCCACTAGACTTAGGAAGCTACTAGGAACAAGTGCCTCGCTACTAGTGCTCAACCCAAAGTGATCAGCTCTACTCCTCGAAGAGCCTCTGGCCTCCTCCAACGGAGGGAAGAACTCCTTCGCATAATTTGGAAGTGGGCCACCTGGAGAGGGAGAAGAACAGTGCGGAGAGTCAGGAGTGAGAGGTAGCAGCATACAGTTACTTGGAAGGAGTAGCTTCTTGTTACTAGTAGTACTGCACTTAGCTAGTAGTACTGCTACTAGTAGCGATGACCTTTTTACTAGCAGTAACTTGTGGCGCAACAAATCAGGCACAGTGCCATACTGTGGCCTCTGCAAAGCTCCATAGCCAGGTATGTATGAGAACAAGCAGGCTCCTCTGAGTAGTTGGATCAAATCGGATCAGTTCAATCTTTTTGTGACTTCTTCTGTAAGAGTTTGATCTCAAATGCTTTTGAGTGTCTTCTTAATTTGCAGCCGCCGAGCCTCGAAGGTCTCAAAAAGCCGGAGAATGTTTGGGTGATCGAGCTTCAACATGAGCGAAATCTCGAATCCTTCAATTTGCAACTGTTAGAGCATGGTTTAAACACATAATATGACATAATAAATACCCCAAAAATGAAAGACTTGTTTGGCGCATCACAAACCGCTCCTGAAGGATCGGATTTGCGGGACATGATCTTGATCGCGCGCTTCGCATTGCTGCGATGGCAAGTGGCCTGCAAATCTGACAACGCCAGTGAGATGCAAAAGGTCGACTTACATTGTTCAACACTGTTCAACCCACTCCAACATGCTGATGTCAAGGCACAATCGTCCTTTTCGGACTTTCACCTTTTGGCAGCGGATGGTGGGGTGATCCCAACATTTGCATACTAATATGATCTATATAGTATGCGTTTGTTGTTTGTTCTGCCCGTTGTCAGCACTATAATCACAGACTGATATACATGCCACAACTCTTTTCTTGCAGTTATGCATCTGGTGGGAAGTTGTCGCCGGGTCCTAATCATTGAATGCCAAAAGAGGCCTCTGGTGGATTTTGCGGAGGCATCTTGAAAACAAAGTCGCAAATGAACCCCTTCTGGTACCAAAACCCTCGAAACTCTTCAGCCCGGCGAGCAGGAAAACAAATCAAGTCCGGCTTTGTGACAAACAGAACCAGCATGAACCACCAACCTTCTAGCCTTCAACGAAGGCTCCAGAAAAAGAAGTCCGGTCTTCACGGTTTGTTGCCCCAGTTCTTATGTTGTTTCGGTGCATCAACCCTATCGTGAAGTACCATGAACCACCTCCGCAAATGGGTTAACAGCGGAAATGGTCATGTACTGAATACCGAGGCATCTGAAACGTCCTTATTCTCTGAGAGCTGCGCACTCGGAATTATGATTGTATCTTGTTCTGGTCAATCATGTTGCGCAGAATGGGTCGCACTCGGAATCGTTTTATAGTAACAATAAAGCTTTCTAGTATGTATTTGAATTTTCTCAGTAACAACAAAATGCTAGCACCTTTCCCACAAAATGTCCATGTTCTCAGGGTGACGAAGGTAGCGATGTTTTCTCTAAATTTCATCATCATAGTCTGGCCCCACATTGTGTAGTGCTGGGTGCAGTGTATCCATGTTATTGGTAGTGCTTTTGCATAATCCTTCGTCATGGCTTCATACTCAGTATCTCAAAGCCCTTTGGGTAGTGAACGGATTCTATGAAGTACGTCCCGTGATATCAGTTCGATTCCGATTTTTTTACACGTTCACTTTCGGCGCTCCATCCGGAATTAGAACTCCAGCAAATCTCCGAAACTCGCTTTTGTGACTTACCACCCTACCTTGGCCTACCCCCCTGAAAGAAATAGAGAGATGTACCGCATGACCATGGCACCAACTCTTTCCAGCACCACTGTTTTTGTGGACTTCTGGTGTTGGCATGTTTTCTGATCGATTGGTCTTGCTGTTGCAAGATGAGGGGCCACTCCTTTCTTGCATAAATGTTGTTGGTCCTTTTCAACCTGCTGACTGGCTACATGCTCACATGCTCAGTATGTGACGGAGGCACAAAGAGGTGCTCTTAATACGTCTCGGCTGTCAACTTGCGAGGATTTTGCTGACCACGCTCTGCAGTGAGATTCCAGGATTCCAGCCAAGCAGTGCTTCTAGCTTTTTTGTTGAATCACACAGCGTTTCTGTTGGTACACTTGCAGTCTCACAAAGCTCGCCGAAACAGTGTCTAAAACCATGCAAAAAAGAACAAGGAAAGAACATGGGGCCCACCAGCCCGAATGCGCACACACACAAATGAAAAACATTGATTAAAAGTGACCAAACATTGTTTAACGCTCCTGAGGCTCTTGTGGGACGCTCCTGCGGGGCACTCTTGTGGGACACTCTGTGGGAGACTTTTGTGGGACATTCTTGTTAGGTGACACTCTTTTCGGACACTCTCATCTTGTAGCACACTTTTGTAGGGCACTCTTGTGGGACACTCTTGTGAGACATGCTTTGGCACCATCCCACTCACCAGCGGCACGCCGCACTTGCAAGCGCATTATGCTTTCCGTTCTCCAATGGCACGGAGCCACGCAAACAAATTTAAGTTTTAAGTGGCACAGCGGCATGACAAACGCAATTTCGCCGCGCCGTGTTAGATGCAACCATGCGCCATGACGCTGCCAATCATCCCATTCTCCAGCGACACACCGCGTTTACACGCATGTTTTCCTTCTCAATGGCGCGGTGCTACGCAAAAGCAAGGCTGTGCCAAACCGCGTAGCACAGCGACATCAACTAATTATGTAGTTTCGGCTCATCGTGTGCCACTTCTGAGTGTTTCGGCCGAGACTGCCTCCAAAAGTCACTTGTCAAGTCTTCAAAACGAGCCTTTCGTGTACGAGACTTCCTCTGAGCGTGCCCTGAAAGAGTGCCGAAGTCACTCCAAACGCGTGGTCTTGTGCCATTTTTGCCGAAGAAGATGCGATACGGCAATTTTTCATGGCAGGCGCAGTGCCTTGTACTGCTTGATGTGCTCTCTCTGATGAGACTTCCCGCTCCGGTTCCGCGCAAAACACTGATTTTGGAGAGCTCTCAGTTTGACTTTACGCTCATTTTGGAGACCTGACGTGTGACTGTCAATTTTCGAGGCTTGTCATGAAAACACAGCTTCGAGGCAACGGCCTGAAAACGAAAAGCCAATTCCAATGGCACATAATGGCACAGCGACCACATGTCCTGACCTCACAAAACACTGCTTCTGTGCAGCAAAATCATCATCCACACTTCAACATGTTACGCTCCCACATGAATCTGACAGGGGCCGTAGGGATCACATTCAAACGGTTCCGAATGGTTGCGAACACGACAGCAATGTCATGCGAACACAGCCCTATACTTCCAGAACGCCAGAGATGAACGAGCACCCGCGCTACGCAGAGAAAAGGAACACACACGAAAACCTTCCGATGGCTCAAATGGCTACCTTACCTTATGCTTGTCTTTTGCGGATGGGATGGAGTCAGGAGTCCCCCTCAAATTTTTGATCGGTGATATCGAGAAGAGGTATAATAAGGACCTCTTTTGGTTGACCAATGTATATGGACTCTCTTCAAGCTTCAATGGTTTGTTCCTTCGGTCGCTGTTGGTTTCAAGCTAAAACCCACAGACTTGGGCCTCTCATGGCTTCACACATGTCATCATCAATCATCTCGTTTGTTCTTTACACCTTTGGACCTGTTTGATCTTTAATTTGTTTATTCCCTAAATCCTTTATAGCGTCTCTTCCTGCCTGGACAACTTGTCCGATACCGCCCTGTCCCAAGCTGCGCTCAAAGGTGTATGCATTCGAGACCTCCGAAGACGGGACAAGTTGTGAGCACAACATGTTTTAAAGATATGTTTCTTTGTCTTTCTTCTTTTCTTTGGCTGTGTGTGTTTTAATATAATTTCCGTCGTTTTGTTGCTAAACATGTTTGGTATGGAAGCACTTTCGTCCCCCTTCCGCTTGCCATTGTCTAGTCCAGCACGCGCCCTTTGTCCTAACCGATAAGCATGAACCACTCAATTACAATCTAAGCTAAACATCAGCAGAATACAACATTGTCTGACATCAGCGTCCACGGCACTTATCAATGCATCAGACCGCCCTGGGCGACAATACAAGCTTTGAACATATATCGGCATCAGCAAATGCGGTCGATCGAGATTCATTGAAAGTTATCATGGTGTCTGCACTGCGCTGAACACACAGCGCAACCGACGGTGGCAAGTTAAGAGCCACTAGGATGTGGACTCACGCTGTCGTAGTCTGGCACAAACACAGTCAGTGGGGGAGAATGACATCGATACGGATATGGAAAGCATGTTGCATGGGCCCACGACATACCACAATAGCATTCACAACGTACTGCCAGGTGAGGGTCTCCATTTCATTAGTGCCACTGCGCGTCTTCATCTCCTCATCCCGAACCATTTTTGTTGTGGGCGTCACAGCAAGTGCCAGCTGAAGCTGGGCACACACAAACGGGAACACTCTGGGCTGAGCTGCAGCTCCGTCTGGCCACGCACGGACTGGAACGTTCCACTCCAGAGGGAATGCTATGAACATGCTAGAAAGTTAGGATGCCGTGCCAGGAAGTGTGTCAGAACACGTGCCGGAAAAATGCGCGAATATTTGGCAGAAAGAGTGTGCGATAAAATGTTACAGTAGATGCCAGAAGGCATGGCAAACAAAATGCCACAACATACGGCAGAATGCATGTCAAATAAAAAATTGCCAGAACTATCATATCACCTGTCTTATTACATGCCAGAACCCATCTCAGAACAAGTGACGCAACACTTGTCAAACGGATGTCAGAACTGATGTCAGACTTGATGCCAGAACAAGTGTCAGAACATTGAGTCAATGCACATGTCAGGCGGCCTTTGTCGGGAAAGTCTATCAATGTCTATATCAAAACTACTAGGAACAAGTGCCTTACTGGTAGTAACAATGTTTGCTATTTGAAACAAATTCTAGTAGTAAGGCACTTGTTACTAGTAGTAAGGCACTTGTTCCTAGTAGCTTCTTGTTACTAGTAGTAAGGCACTTGTTCCTAGTGGCTTCTTGTTACTAGTAGTAAGGCACTTGTTACTAGTAGTAAGGCACTTGTTCCTAGTGGCTTCTTGTTACTAGTAGTAAGGCACTTGTTACTAGAAGCGATGCACTTGTTACTAAGCTATCTGCCCGCCTTCTTGCAATTCGCCTTTGGTGGGGATCAGTCGAAGTAATGTGAATGTTGTTTCGGCCACGACTGCCCCTACTACGCGTAGAACATAGCTAAAAATTGAATTGAATATGGCAGGTAACTTCGGCGGTTCCATTCAAATTGCATTTGTAGACAATCCGCCGGAGTCTAAACATATTCGATGGCTCCGATTTCTGAGATTGACACTGGCTTGCTGAACCTGGTCAAACTCATTGAGCAAACTCAACTCATTTCAATCAGTTCACTTAGAAGAACACACAGCACTCAGCACAGCAAACTCATTGCTTGTGTTCTTCTCATGACATCCCAACGCCCACCTGAGGACGAGATGCGCCCGGCAGATCATTCCAATCCCCTACATGGCGTCTAGCATTCATTGGCTGTAGCCAAATGGCTGCCTCACAAAAACGCAATACCAAAATGATGCATGACAACTGACATGTGAGCTCGGTCCAGCTATGTCCAGCTGCACCCTCTCCACTTAGGTCGAGCGCAGCTCTTCATACCGGCGTCACGACTTGCTTGCCAGCCACTCAAACATACACCGGCCAAGCGGGCGGGCGAAATGGGAAGGCATGCAGTGTAGTCACTCCGCCCAAAAAATTAAAAACCGCAGGACATCCAAAATAGTTCGCATTTAAGATCTGTAGGCTGGTAATGGCTGGTATCAATCCTGGATGGATGCCACTGACTCAAACATTCCAACGCCCAAAGTCTACTTCATAATGTGCCACGCTTCTCGAAGGAATGCAAATCTCCAGTCTCCAACAGCAAAATGATCAATTGTCAAGCATCTGTATGCAACCTTGGGCCGTCAACGGCTCTTGCTCGTTGTTGACGATTCTTGCAAATCCCCAGGTGATCTTTGAAGCTTAAAACTCTTCCTCGAAGTTGATGGTGCCTGCTTGCTTACGTGAAGCTCACGTAATCAAAGCATAAATCTGCCGAGCAGGAATACTCGGCGATCTATTCAACCGCTTACTAGAAACATGTGCGTCAGTCAATGGGCCAGAAAAGAAGCGCAACATGCTTTCTTTCTTGGCCTCTCGCCGTCGGCGCCCTCAACTGTTCATCCAGTCACTGCTGTCCGCTCAGGGTGGGTTTGCTCCATTCTGCCAAGGCTCACTCATATTGCAACCCGCTCACTGTGCTTTGGCTGTCGTGTGTGTTCCAAGGCACCACGCAGAACTGCTGCAAACAGCAGCCTCAAGGACACGTAGAGCACAAGCTACTCCAGGTATATACCAAGATGGAGCGCTGCGTCCGTAAGTTGAGGTAAAAGCCGAGCTTCTGCAATTCACTGGGCTCATCTGCCGCAAGGTCCGGGCTTCTCTATCTAGATGGCCTCCTTCTAGCTACTAGTAGCTTCTTGCATCTTCTTGCATCTTCTTGCTACTAGTAGTAGGGCCAGGAGCCCCTAGTAGCGTCCTTGCTCCTAGTAGCGATGCCCTTTGCTACTAGTAGCTTCTTGCTACTAGTAGTAATGGCCTCCAACCTAGGAATGGCAAATGGAGGTGACACAGGATATCACACTCCATGAGCTGGTCCGGACAGTCTTGCCCGCAAAACAAGGCCTGAATGACCTGCACACCTGCACACCTAACAATAAGGTCTGCCTTCTGATATTCTACCAGCGGACATGCAGGCAAGGGTGCACAGTGTTGTGCACCATCAAGGCTAGTGTCAAATACTGACACAAGGATTGAAAATATGTTACTAGTAGTAAGGCACTTGTTTCTAATAGCTTCTTGTTACTAGTAGTAAGGCACTTGTTACTACTAGTGTGGCACTTGTTACTAGCTTCCAATAGGCAGCCCGGGAGTGATACAGAAACCGTCCGGGAGCACGCCACTCTCCAAGTGCTCTGCCAGTGTCCTACATGGACTGGCCGGTTCCACCATCTCTCCACGGACGCATGGGCTGGTGTCGGGTCCACTGATTGAATGCCAAGCGTATATGCCGTATACGTATATGCCTGATGCCTGTACCAACTCTTGTTTGGCGATGACGCACTGTTTGCTTCTTTCTACTAGTAGCGATGCCCTTTGTTACTAGGAGCGATGCCAGGAGCTACGTTCGTAGCGTCCTTTGATATCGTTGCACATCGGAACATTTCAATGTATGGCATTAACAAGGGACGCTACTAGTAGCTCCTGGCATCGCTAGTAGTAACAAGGGCATTTACTACCAGTAGCAAGAAGCTACTAGTAACAAGTGCCTTACTACCAGTAGCAAGAAGCTAGTAGCTCCAAAGTATGGTGAGGTCCCTCTGGATCATCAAGCGAGCCTTCTTGTAGCTTCCCGTCGCTTGTGAAAATAGCTGCCACTTGATTGAGCTACATCTCTGACACCCCCTAGCATCCTACCTCCCAAAAAGAACGAAAACAAGAAACAACTTTAAACAAGAAGCTACTAGTAACAAGTGCATCGCTTCTAGTAACAAGTGCCTTACAGAGCAGTAACAAAAAGCCTTAAAACACAATCAAATTTATTCGATGATTCGGTCACATGTTAAAACGGTCTAAAGGTCAAAAGACAAATAGTTCTAATTTATTTTGATTTAATTCTAATTCTTGTTTCTACTAGCGTCCTTGTTACTAGTAGTAAGGCACTTGTTACTACAAATTTATTCGATTATTCGGTCTCGGACTACCCGCCGACTTTCGCAATTCCACTCGACATCCGCTTAGCGGCAAGCCTAGTTAGGCACCGAAAGCACGGCGCCGAAAACAATGTCGAAAGCTGTACAACAAACTATATAACATGTTTGCACCACAGAATCTCACATCCTTTCTTAAATACATCCTTTGTATCCTTTCAGGATCAGGATGTGGACCTACTTCGGATCCATTGACTCCTTGAATAGCTGCAAAGTGCCTATGAGCAAAACGAAGACGGCAAAAGCCTTGCGTAGCGCCGCCTGTGGAATCCGTTCTGCGCCAAATCCACCGACCAAACTCCCAAGCACGGCACTGAAAGACACCAAAACGGTCAACTTCAGATCAATTTGTACATGCTGCGCATGTCCCAAGTAGCCAGCTGCACATTTCGTGGATATCACCAGTAAAGAAGTCCCGATAGCTTCGGTCATCTGCAAACCGCCGAAGAACACAAGAGCTGGGACAACCAAAAAGCCACCGCCTGCACCTACCATGCCCGTGACCACACCGACCAGGAACCCGTCCAAAACGATTCTCCAGATTGGCAGCTTCAAGTTACTTAGCTTTGCTTCATCCTTTGGTTCATCCAATTTGAAATTGGAAGCATCAGCATTTTGAGCTTCGCAAGTAGGTTGGAGGCCATCGCTATTAGCTTGGACGCTAACAGGTTGGAGGCCGGAGCTTTGGACGTCCAAGTCGTCAGGCGCGAAGTCGCTACGTCCATTCGCCTCCTCTTCCGACTCGTGAGGCACTGGCCAATATGTTTCACTTCGAGAGGAACCTGAGATCCGAGGTTCGCTGTTCGAGTCCCTGCAAAGCATGGCTGTTGCTGTAGCAAGTGTCATCACAGCAAAGAGAATCATCAGGATGCGCTCCGAGATGTAACCGGCAAGGATGCCACCAAGAAAAGCGCCACTCATCCCAGCTAGCCCAAAAATACTTCCAATCTTCCAATTCACATTGCCGGAAAGTGCATGCGAAATCAATGCAAAGCCGCTCGTGACCCCAACAACTACCAAAGACATGGCAATGGCTTCTTTAGCATCAATCTCAAGGAGGTACACAAGGATGGGCACGGTCAGAATGGACCCACCACTTCCAAGCAATCCTAGTGATAGGCCAATGAAAAAACATGACACGATTGCGAAGCTCTGAAGTTGCCCACCCTCCATGGCTTTGCAATTCTCTCCGAGTCTGAGTTGCAATTCATGTTTGATAAAAACCACATGCTCTGACCGAGGCACTTGTCACTCTGACTTATGACTTCTTCTTACAAGGAAGCTTTCCAGCTGAGTTTCCACTAAAGGGTTCAGGATGATCCAGTGCCTGTGTTGCGAAAAACCCAAGTAGCCAAAAGCATATCATATTTCATCATCTAGCGAATCTAGCATTGAGGCGCCATGCCCTGCCGGCGTGACAGTCAGTCTGGAACTAAAAGTTGTCAACAAACGCCTTTGTGCCGCCTGGCCGTCGCCGACTCTCTGGACGTGCTAACTGCTTTTTTCCTCAAGAAGCGCCAGTGCCGCCATTGGCCAGCCACTGTGTAAGTGCCAAGCGGTCTGCAGATGTCAGTTCCTCAGTCAACAGTGCGACACCGACAGTGCCATCGCGTGCGCATTGACATGGCATTGCCATGCTGTCAATTCAATCAATTCGATGTCTTTCTTTCATTGCTTTATTTTTGTTGCTTTGCTTTTCTGGTTTCATCTACGCTGAGGAACACGAAGAGCCTGTGATTGTCGCTGAAGGTCATCTAAGCTTCCTAGGATCGCGTCGTCCGTGCCCGGGCGCAAGAATGAGGGAACATAAACATGCTCAACCCTTACCTGCGGATCTTTATGACCTCCCCTTTTTGTGGCCCTCGTGAGTAACAATGACCCTGGATGGTCAGTTTGTAACCTTGCCTCTGTTCATGGCAAAAGATATAAGCACCTTGAGCGTAGGTCGAGGTCGGTTATAGTATGTTACAAGTGGATCGAACCAGTAGCTTCCTTATATATGGGCTTAGCATTCTTGCAAGTAGGAGGGAGCAGTGAGCAGCATACTTAGCTTAACAGTATAGTGCAAGGAGAGGCTGGAGACTTGCACTTGCATGAGTTACCGTTGTTTGGAGCCTTGTGGCGAACCAACTGGGTCTGCTCAGCGGTCCCTATAAGATGGAGGAGCCCCTAGTAGCTTCTTGTTGCTAGTAGTAAGGCCAGGAGTGCCTAGTAGCGTCCTTGCAGCCAATGTAGCACCAGGTAAGAGCCGGTAACCTTATGTAGCACTGCCAAATGTATTATATGCAGCGAGGACGCTTTCGGCTGCACTCACGAAGAAAAGCAAAAGGCAAACAAACGCCTCTACGGTTGCGCCTTTCACACTGAAGCGTGAAAAATCACACGGTCAATAGATTCCCTGCGTGAGAGGAACGAACCATACTTCTCTGAAGAAGAACATTGAAGAATCTGAGGAATGTGCTCATCCTGCAGAATATCGTCTCGAAAACACGTCCTGACTATGGAAAAATGCAGCAATTCGCCAGTTGAGTCTGGACCGGTTGAGTCTTGGTAAGGGTAGGTGGGTCGTGATGAGCCCTCCAAGTCATGTAACACAAACCTTCCAGGTCATGCAGAATGTTGCTACGCTTTTCAGCAGATTATATAGTCGTAATTACTCCGTTCAAGACATCCAGTTGCTTCCTTCTAGCCATGCCGAAAGGGATGTTTGATGATGTTTGATGCCTTTCCTTTGAGATTTGAACTGCGGACCTTGCACGGACAGAATGCGGATGACTCTGAAGTCAGCATGAGAGATGCGATGATTCCCCAGGGGCAGCCACAACCGCAACCAAACGGCAGCCATTGTATATCGTCCTTCCGTTCCGGGTATCGTCCTAGCTTGGTGTCCGCGTGCGTCCGCGACGTCTTTGGTGATGTGTTACCGACACCTTGTGATCGTGTGCGCACCTCGTCCTAGCCCAAGGCTTGGAGACGAAACCACCAACTTTAACAACCGTCGAAGTGACAAACTAATTAATTACTGCGAATCTATTTTTGCATCATCAAATGTATGTCAAGGATGTCGAGGGAAGCTTGTTATTGCTCGCATTCTTTCACTCTGTGATGATTGATTACCATGTTACCTGCTTGTTGTTTCACTCGGTTTCACTCTGTGCCACGGTCGAAGGAAGGAGTGCAAATCTGAAGGATCACGGCCGCCATCCTGGCTTTCTTTGGTTTCCCTTTTGCGTTCAAACCCTTTCCTTCGGTTTGCTTCCGGGTCTTGACAACATCACATCAAGCGCCTCGTTCACACCGAGCAAGCGAACAACAGGAAAAGGATTGACACTCTTTACCTTGCATCGAGCACTTGCAAAAACACACCCACTCCCATCACTACTAGGGTGGAGGCCACCGCTAGTTTGTTGAGGCCTCTAATTAACTATATATATATATAACAGGTATAACTATAGTAATCCACATTCACAAGTTCCTCAATGTCACTTTTTGCATCCTTCTCAGCCGCGGACGCTTAGGTTGTACATCCCCAAATTTAACCCCCGCAGTCCACCTGGGGCCACACGTGTGTAGCAATTGTTGGACATGGGCCACACGACTTCACACCCGCACCCCGGGTCACTACCGTTCTTCGCATCTCGGAAGTCCAAATGCTTTCTCTGAGAGTGTATTGTGTAGAGCGTCCTTGCTCCTAGTAGCGATGCCCTTTGCTCCTAGTAGCGTCCTTGCTCCTAGTAGTAAGGCCAGAAGCCCCTGGTAGCATCCTTGCTCCTAGTAGCGTCCTTGTGTGCACGTGTTTCCTCTGGTCTTGGGCACCCGAACTCTCTCCCATCTCTGCAGGCCAAAGAGCAAAAACATGCGGGCTTCTGCGAAGGGAACCCTTGCTGAAGCGGACAGCCACAGCTCCAGCAGTTTGTTTCAGCGCGTGACTCCACAAGAGTTGATATGGATTTTGCCAAAACTGTAGATCAATTTGGGCGCCAATTTCTCGGGTGCCTTCTTCGCTGGGGCAAAACACGCAGGGCAATGTGGCGAGTTCTTGCCTTCCAAAGGTCCCTGCCCCATTCGGGGAGAGGACTGGGAGGACTTCGGGAATCAGAACCTTAGGTCGACCCTTTCCAGGCTTGCCGGGTGCATCCTCGTTTTCACCGTCCACATCCTCCGTCTCTGAGTCTTGCTGAGCCAAAGAAGATCCAAGGGAGAGTCCAGCACTCTTCCGCTTCCCAGCCAAATTCAACATTTCTTCTATGGAAAGTCCAGACTCAAAACTGGAGGAACTCGCGTTACGTGCATATCGGGTCACTGCATATCGAACTATCTTGGATGTTGCTGTCAGGAATACTGAGCAAAACGGAGTGCACAAAAGCAACACCAACACAGCGAGCAGCCGAAACTTGGCCCGATGGGGGGTTGCCATGGCGCCGACGGCGAAACCCTTTGGGTATCCAGAGCTGTCTGCAAATGATCAATATACCTGAGGCAATTGTGACTTGTGAAGCAACTAGAAAGAATGCCCGCCAACAATCAGTATATATTGACGGTGGCTGCGCGCCATACAGGGTTGCCATGCCGTGCTGTTTGAAGCAATATCCGAGCCAAAACATTCTTGGCCCAATAGCTCAAAGCACATGAAAGAGGAAGAAGGAAAAGTATGCAATTGCAACACTCATTACTGATGTTCTTAATATAAATATATAAAGGGCGGGCATAAAAAGAAGTCAAACAAGGTCGGCTGGTCGGGTTTAATTTGCTGTTGCCCCCCTCACCCCAAGCTTCGGTTGGACTACGGGTCCCCCGACTCAAAGTCTTCGGCATCACGTGAGTTGGTTTATTCAATGGAGGTGGTGTAAGCAAACAAAACAACAAGAAACAAAAGAATGTTATGTTTCCTATTTCTTGAAACACTGTCCTGATGTTGGCACAGGAATGTTCTGGAGCTCATGGGCAACAGCCCGTTCCTCAACCGTGTCAATGAAGATTGCGGGCAATCCAAAGCTGATGGCATCGTTGTCGATGACCCCGCCCACGTTCTCCGCAATCATTCTTCCACCTTCGTCTGTCTTCACATCCTCCACCAAAGAGAAGCCTTGCTTGGCGATGTGCTCCAGGTGAGCCCTCGCCGCTGCATTTTTCACACACGAAGGCAACCCCAGGCATCTCACAACTGCAAAGGGGTCGAAGGTATCTTTCTTCCGAATGAGGCTCTCCAAAGTCTGCTTGGTGGTGCACATGTCGCCGTCAAAGTAGTTGTAGAACATCTCTGCCAAGTCCTCCTCCATGCCCCAATCATCCTTCAGCATCTTGAGCATGTCTGACTTTAGCACTTCGCCGATGATAATGATCTTGCCAATGTCCCTGAGGATCTCACCCTGCGGTTTGCAGACGAAACGGGTAGCCAAACTCTGAAGATATCAGCAGGACACTTGCTTGCTTTGCCTGCTTGGTCCATTTTGCGATGGCAGCTGGAGCCGACTTGGACGCCGAGTTCACATCTCCACCTAGTCCAGGCAATGCCAAATTCCAAATTAACCTCGTCCACAATGAGGCTTGGGATCCTACAGTACCACTCCTGGTGGTTTTCTTAGTGAAATTATCAACGTTTATTTGTTTTGTTTGTGCTGCAACATCCCGCACGCCCCTCGCTCGGTCTTCGGCTCCACCATTTTCATTCCCCGCAAAGAAGGTGACACTTTGCCCGATCACTGCACCCAAGACTTGCATGCACTGCCCGCGTTGTCCACTTCAGAGATTTTTGTTGTTGCACGTCAAACGCTGTCATTAAGGGTTTGCCAAGCATATCAGCATCCCGCATGTCCACCGAAACCATGTCGATGTTCCCTTTGCTCTCGTTGCATCTCTTGATTGCCTCACCTTTGAGAATTGTTTTCCCCAAATTCTTGGCCCCCCAAGACCAAGGTCAGCACCCTTGTCCTTTCCATTGACCGTATCAAAGCCTGTATTGCAGCATCTCTGTCAACAACTTTGCTGGATTTCATGTGGCCGTCTGCAAGAGCGACGATCCTGTGAGGGTCACCTCGCGCGGGCCCGCGGGCCGGACACTTTGCGCGGGCTCGCTGCGGGCTCGTGCGCTCAAGTAGGCTTGAAGGTTTGCGGGATTAATTGCATGCGTGCTCGGTGTGGAGTGTCTAATACCGGTCAATATCAATTGGTGAGTTGCCACCACTATCCAGCCACACCAACCCACATTCATTGGAGAAGTCCTTCCTCCGCCCCCCAAAAATGAAGGTTTGTGATTGACTACGTGGGTCTTTTTGGGGCAGAAAGAACGTGGCGCAGCACGCAACATCAGACCAGTCCACCAATATGTGCAACATCTATCAGCTGAATGCGCCCGCTTTGCCCAACACACACTTTAAACCGCAAAATCGGCAAGGACCAGCCAAAGCTGCCCAAACGACATGATGACCATTGCTGCACAACACGGTGTCATGCGCAATATGACAGCATGTCCTCCCTGGCATGACATGATGTCATTTCTGGCATGACACGATGTCATCCCTGCCATAACCTGACGTCAACCCTGGCATGACAGGATGTCATCTTGGCACGACGCAAAACGAAACGCCGATCCAGAGCCAGCGCCTGCACCTGCACCACCATCAGCATCGCTGCAGCGCCCGCAAAACCAAAACGCCGATCCAGAGCCACACCATTGAGAAATTAGATGGAATTAGAACCCCTATAGCCTGCAGCTATCTAGGGAATAAGCTTTTTTTTGGCAGGAATCGCGCAGGCCCGCGGAGCAATCCAATCTAGAAAGGGCTTCTGAACCAAACGCCAACTGTGGAGAGCAAGAACCTTGAACGCTGCAAACGCGCAGGAAACAGGATGATCTGAAACCTGCAACAGGGATGGTTTCACATGGTTTCACACACCGCCAAGCAAACAGCGCGCTCCTTTTGGTCTTCGGCAGTCGACTCTTGCAACGTAGCGAGGAAAAAAGGAAACTTTGTCCAATCTTTGTCCTCTGAAACCTACTAGCGATGGCCTCCAACCTAATAGCTTGTTGCTTTATGCAAGAGTGCCCAACTTCAACTTCAGCCCCTCGATGCGTCTTTTTTGTTCCTGCACGAGTCATCATCAGCCATCTGTCTCTTGACTTCTCTTGTGTGTTCTCCCAAAACTTGTGGATCACACCTGACACGTGACGACAAATGACAACATGACCAAACCCAAGCGGAAGAACATACTGCGTTCTTTTGTGAAACAACAGAGCCAGCTGCATGTGTGTGTGCCACACCCCGTCTCCAGGGTCTTCCGTCATTTTCCGTTCATCGTGCTGAATCACAAGCAGGGGGTCAAAGCGCGATATCACCAACCTTGACCAACGAAGCTGGGTGATATCCCGGGAATGGGACTTGGCCAGTCCCATGTACCTGCTTTAATCTAGTGTGTAACAGGAGGAAGGGTTTCGCCTGCAGACTTGTCTGTCGGTTCCCTTCCTTCTTTTGCCTTTCTATTACCCTACCCTATCTAAAACAGGAGGCTTTCCTTTTCTACTTCTTTAGAGCAACTCACTTGTCTCGCTCCTTTTGCCGTTTGTTCAGGAGTGCTAAGTATTCAGTAACTAGTTTCTGGAATACCTTGTTAAAACACTCGCAAGTACACTGACCTGCCACCTTTCCGATTTTCTAGCGCAAGGCTAAGCATTCAGTAACTAGAGTGCTAAGTATTCAGCAACTAGACCGTGGATTATCTCACTGAACGAACCTATCGACGTGTGTGTCCCACCCTGCGCCTAAGGGTTTCTAAGTTTCGCTCCAAACAGCAGGGGGCATGCAGCATCTGTGATCTACTGCGCGCAACGAAGCTATGATCACAGATGGGAAGGGATCAAGGACTCTTGATCCTGTACCTGCTCGAAAACACAATGACTCCACTGGTCCACCCTGCCGCTGTGTTGTTTGCTTCCATGGTTTTTGCATGCTATCCCCCTAAGCCCATTTTCCAGCTGATTGCAGCCGCATCGCCGCAGTACTAGTTTGAGTCAAACGTTGTTCAAACATCTTCAAGTGCATGGACTTTCCACTTTACCGTTCCGCCATTCATTTCTACGTGGATCTTCTCACTGAATGCAACCTATCGAAGTGCATGCGAGCACATGTCGACTGACGTAGCCAAATAAAGATTGAAACGTCCAAGTCTCAGAAACGGTGCGTGAGTGAACGTATCCTGTGGTGCATGCTCGGTGAGCTCGAACCAATCCAATTCTCTCAAAAGTTCAAAAAACACTCGGCTAATTCACACCCAATACTTAGTTACTTCACCACCACAACTCAGAACTATGCTACAATTCACAGCTTGGATGCGTACAAAAATGGCCTTCCACGACGCAAAACATGCTTTGGCGGACGGCGACACAGGTGTGCTGCCAGGTGCAGGTTGCAGCCGTTGTGAACTGATTGACAACTCTGACCAAAACCTAGAACATTTGACGTAGCACCCACTGCACTGGACAGCGCCAGCAGGAAACGTACTGTAGTGATCTTAACATATGCCAAATACGCGAGCATCATGTCACATGGGTCTTTCCTCGAGCAAGGCTTCCACATCCATATCTGCATGGGCTGCAACTGCCATAGGTTTCGCCTCAAATGCAACATTCAAAGCAAACAACAACCAGCAAACACAGAATATGTTTGATTGCTGCTTAGCGATGCTTCATCCTATGTATACGTCTGGCCGAAGGTCACCACCTTCGTCAGTGTTGGCATTGAGGCAGAGCCTTCCCAAAGACTCAGCCAGCAAGCTGATTCTCATACATGCTTAGATGTATTTTATACAGCCAATGGAAGCCCGCAAGCTGGTCGCCTATCACCCCGGGATTGTGCTCAGAGCTTCTTGCTTCATCTCTGCCTTCCGGGAGAATGACTGGCTTTCAGCAAACTTGTCAATTGTGCACAAACACTACCAAGGGATCGCATTGGACTTGTAAAGCTCTGTCAGTAAACATGCATGGTGCACTTGATATAATATATCCGTGTATCCCTAGCGTCCGACACCTCTCCACAAAAGCACAATACTTTGCGTCTTGTTTCTGCACAAAGAGGCAAAGGATTGATCTATGGCCTGGGTGCCACTGGGTGCTAGGAAGCAAACTTTGTCACTATCCCGAAGGTGGCACATTGTATTAGGAGGCCACCGCTTCTAGGTTGGAGGCCATCGCTATTGCTATTTAGCAGGAGGAAACCGCTTCCAGCCGCATGCAGCGGCATGCGCTTGCAGTGTGGTCCAGTTATATAACTTTATATCCCGACATCTGACCTGGCCGTTCGCAAACAATTCATGCGGTTATCAATTGGCAAGCCGCTGCTAAATATATTGTACTGATTGGCAGGCTCCAGCTGGTTGGAGAGAGGTCAAGTCTAGGAGCAAGAAGCTACTAGGGGCTCCTGGCATCGCTACTAGGAGCAAGGATGCTACTAGGGGCTCCTGGCCTTACTACTAGTAACAAGAAGCTACTAGGAACAAGTGCATCGCTACTAGTAACAAGTACCTTACTAGTAGTAACAAGAAGCGATTAGAAACAATTCATTCAAAAACACTCCATCCGGACACCTCAGCTGCCCCCAGCCGACTCCTCTTCCTAGGCGCCCGAGCCCCAAGCTGCCCGTAGGCGCTTGACTTCAGGCGGTGTTTCTTGTATGACTTCGCTTGGTTTCTCCTGTTCTCTTCCACCTTTCATGGCACAGAATGTTGACCACCCAATGACAAAACAAGCATTGGGCACTGAACAATCTGAACACTGAAAATACAGAAACATACAGTGCCTGTCGCTGCTTTTGGCTCCGGTTTTCTTGCGTGTCTGCCTGGGGGAGACGGCGCCGCTCACCCACAATCTGACCCTCATTTTGCGACACTCTCAAAGGTTGGTGCCTTGCATTTCCTGTCTTTCAGAGGCCGGTTTCTCCATGCCTGACTGATGACCCAGCCATCAAGAACAAAGAATAAAATCAAACAAAGCTATTTGGCAATTTTCTTTGCCATTGTTTTGGAAGATCGCATGGCAATGGAAACTAATCACCATTCAACACCATAAAAAAAAAAAAAACAATATCGAGGTGCTGGGCGATGGCATCACTCCAGATTTCCACGCATTCAAAGAATTTCCTGCATCCAGCGACCAGCGCGAAAATCCAGCCAACACAAATGATGTGCTTGAACAAGCATGTACATGTGGTAGGTACAGAGTACTTGTATGTGTATCATGGTGTGTATTGGACTGCAAATGACTGCAAGATTGATCCCACCTTGAAAGGCTGGAGTAAACCCGTCCCGAAGGCCATGTGCCCCTCCTGAACCATCAAGTCACCCAATGAAAATAGCTAAAACACGATGTTAAGCATAATAGCCTCTTGTTCCTAATAGCTTCTTGTTACTACTAGTAAGGCACTTGTTACTAGAAGCGATGCACTTGTTCCGAGTAGCTTCTATACCATCATGTCATTTTGTCAGGTCAGAATTGTCAGGAGCCCTCCGAAGATGCAATGAACTTGTGAATAAATACGCACGTAAAACCACGATTCCTGTAACTCCAAAAGATCTTTCTCGATCAAAGTTCCGCGGGAAAATGTGATGGAGGGCCAATGAAACAAGCATGGACCAATGGATGATGACGACGACAACGATGTACTCTATATATTAACGATCAAACAAAATCATCTGATCAACCATGCGCAAGTGGTATGTGCGCCCCAAAAGTGTACAGGTGTCTATTTCTTGTTGTCCTCCTGTTTCACGGAAATTTCTATATACAAATGAATGAGCTTGTGAGGAGCGGTCCGGTAGCATGGTGGGTGTTGATGCTCAGTGGCGATTGTAACAATGTTGTTTTCTGAATATACGGGAGGTGAGATATGCTGGCGCTTTCAGAAACTTCACCAACTGAAAGGAATGCAGCATATGCATCGTGAGATCCTCAAGGCTCCTCCAGTCTCAAATGTGCAACTAGTAGCAAGGACGCTATGGGGAACAAAGGGCATCGCTAGTAGGAGCAAGAAGCTACTAGTGGCTCCTGGCATTATTAGTAGGAACAAGAAGCTACTAGTAGCAAGGGCGCTAACCAGGTGGAGGCCATCGCTACTAGTAACAAGAAGCTAAGCAACCTTTAGCTGTTCATGGGCCGGAGTAAGTTCACCCTGAACGATCCGTGCTTCTCAAGACCGTTGCTGACACATGCTTGCGTCACGTGGGGCCAGGGAGCTTCCGGAGACGCAAGGTGCAATCTTCAGCGCAAAGAAATATGACTTACTTTTAATTACTTTTAGTTATATGTATTTCTGGTTTCTAATAGCTTCTTGTTCCTAGTAGTAAGGCCAGGAGCCCCCTTGCTCCTAGTAGGGATGCCCTTTATTAATAGTGCTACAAAAGGCCGTGTTCACTTGCGCGTTAGGTTGGAGGCCATCGCTATATAGGTTGGAGGCCGTTTCCTCACTTCCTTTGCTTCAAAAGGCTGAATTTTATTTCATCACCTTCTTCAAACCGTCGACGAAAACACAACGAACGCAAATTCCCATCCGGGCACTCAAGAGCCAAAGGTGATCGTCCATCAGTGATGGTCAGTGGAGAATGGATGAGGCTGTGCAAATAAAACCCCAATGACAACATGAACAATCATCGCGTAAAATCTCATAATGTATACAATATGCCAAACCAAACATTGTGTAGCGAAAAGCGGCGTCCTAGTACGATTCATCGAAGGAGCAGTCAACGAGTACGATTATCTGATTTGAACTAACTAGTTCACACGACTATTCACCAACAACATGGAAACAACTTGCATGGACGAGTTCCAACATTGGACTGTTTTCAAATGAACATGTGCCTTGGCCCAGCGGTGGGCCAGCCAAGGGGAGCCCTGGCCCTGTGGGGCAGCAATCGGGACTCCAGTGAAGAGCAAACAATCGTTTCTAATAGCTACTTGTTCCTAGTAGTACGGCCAGTAGCGTTCTTGCTCCTAGTAGCGATGCCCTTTGCTCCTAGTAGCGAACATTGCTCCTAGCTTTGGAAATTCAGAGGCTAGACTACTAGCCGCGCCAAGCCTCTGACCAGCCTTGGTGATGTTCACTCACTGGTGTTGACACATCGACGTCACACCTTGTCTGCCTCGTCAATCCTTGTCAATCTTTGTCTTAAAACTTGTCTTAGATTTCTGGTGTTCCTTCCATATTTGGAAATTACATGAAACCCGCCAAAGGTTTGTTCTTACAATTGCCGGGGGAAAGGGCACTCAGGCACTTAGTCGATGCTACATCCTTATTCCAGACCAAACCAAAGAATGCTCATTTATGATTCATGATGCTATGAACATGTATAAGATCATCTAAGGACACTGGCCGCTCTGGAGAGACCGGTGGCGGTGGCTCTCGGAAGAAATCTCCTGGACAGCAGCATGCACCGACAAAGTCGAATTTCTACACGGATGTCACCTGACAATGCGTGTCAAAACGGGTGACATTGCAAGGTGCCTTACTAGTAGCAACAAGAAGCTACTAGTAGCTCCTGGCATTCCTACTAGGAACAAGAAGATACTAGTAACAAGTGCATCGCTACTAATTAGTATTTTCTTGTTACTAGTCAATGCATAGTAATGCACTTGCTCCTAGTCAAAACGCAGCATGGGCGCTTTGTAGAATCGAACAAGTTAATGATGGCAAAGATCGGTTGTAATTTTTGGTTTCAATGGACGAACATGACAACGTGCTCCTTGAGATCTGGAACCGCTCCCGCCTGAACCCTGCGGAACGGTGCACCAAGGTTACTACAGTCGAACACTTTGACATTTTGTCAAACATGTTTCTCTATTTGCCTTCTTGTTTGCCACCGTGTTTGCATTTGCATTCACAATTTCACACACATTCCGGTATGTTTTATGTCATCCAAAAACCGAAGGTGACCAAAGTGTTGTTGTTTGTTGCGCCTGTAGTTGCGCAAGGAGTGGACGCAAAGGGCGCTCACTTTGTGCCTTGTAAGACTTTACCGCTTTTCACTTCACTCATCCTCCTTATCTTAGGAGCAAGGACGCTACTAGGGGCTCCTGGCCCTACTACTAGGAACAAGGACGCTACTAGGAACAATTGATTTCAAACCTTCCTTTGGCTTCAGTCATCCATCAAGGGCCTCAGTGCCTTTCTCCAATTCTTTGTCCAGGGCCTGAGATACGCACAGGCTCGTGAAGCTTGACTCAGTGCGACATGTCGTCACAGCACTTGAGTGTGTGAAAAACGTCACTGATCCCGATGATGCTTGCAGGAGTTCTGTCTGAAAGATTGGCTCCCCACCTGCCAAGTTTGTGAGGTTTGTTGTAGATGTCATCTAGGCTGTCTTCCTTCCTGCCTGCCCCCCTGCCTGCCTTCCTTCAAAGTTGCTATCTAAATTATTTATTCTGAGATGAGTTGACACCAAGAAAACCTGGCAGCCGCAGTTCGCCACAGTGTGATTACACTGAGGGGTAGCCAACAATTCAGTTGCTAACATCATAAACTAGATTGTCAAAACTCTTGGACGGACAAACTTATATGTTCAGCATGTATTGAACAATGTCCCCAACGATTTCTTTGCTGCAGCTTTACGTGAACAAGCACGTGAAGGTAGTAGTGTTTGCCTGCTTGCGCTTGTAACGCAACTCCACCTACCAAGGCCCTTAAGAACATCAAGACCCCAAGACGCGGCGCCCGCTAAAGGAACCTCAGCGCCCACAACCCCACTTTGAAGGCACTTGAGGCTTATAAGTTGCTTGTGGCAAACTTATGGAACTTAGCGTTTCCATGGCTTGCAATTGCTTACAAGTATATAGGGTGTAAGTAGTTCGTAAGTAGTTGAAAGGAAGGCGTGACCTTTTAAAATGTCCTTAGAGGCACCAAAAGCGTGCGGGACGTGCTGTCTCTCACCATACGCATAAAACATGCACCATAGCGCCAAACACAACACAATGTTTGAAAACGTAAACGCATCAAATAGCTATTAGAAACAAGTGCCACGCTAGTAGTAACAGGTGCCTTACTAGTAGTAACAAGAAGCTATTAGAATCAAATAGAACACGGGGACACCGCGCCGAGATTCTTTTCCTCTGTGGACACTGCATCCGCAGGGGACCATCTGTAATACCTATTGGAAGGTACCCTGCAACCCCCACCGCTTGAGCAATGTCAGCTTTGCTTGGGCCAGTGCCTACAAACTTCAATAAAGTCAGTTGCCAACCTCAGTTGCCTTATTTAACTGCGTTGCTACATAGAAGAGACGATACCACACCTCAGTTTGTCAAGCAATCTCAATATAAAATTGGTTGCGCAAGGTCAAACCTCTCACTAGTCAAAAAGGTCAACGAAAGCAAGAAACAAACGAAATATATCAAAATGGGTCTGAAAATCAAACACAAAACACGTCAAAAAAAATGCATTTCCGTCACATGAAAAAACATAGCAATAAACATAAGTCAAAACAAGCGCACATCAAGGCAGGAAGCTCTTTTTTCAAATGTTTGCTGTTTGCCTTAAATCTTGGAAGTCATGTATGTGTTGGGGAGTTGTTTTAAACTGGAAAAGGTTGAGGCACACAAAATATTAAGTTCCAGATTGGTCTCAACAAATCCCTGAACAAACAAGCAAAACATTGAATATGACCGCTAGTTTTCTGAATTCAGGTTTCCTTTTTGTCGCAGTTTTGCAAAGCCCATAGTTTTTGGCCTCGGTTTGACCCTTGCAACAACGTTCAAGCTTGTGAATTGACCTTTGCCGTTGTAACTCCGTTTATTTCTGTCTCTCCAGTTTGATCAAATGCCCATTCTTTGTTCAGCAGTGGCCGCACAGAAGCAAATGTTGTGATTTTCTTATCGAATCTAGTGTTGTGGTCAAAAGGAATTGTCTTTGATATTGCATTTTTTGTCAGAAGACGGTATTCTTCAAATGGTTTTGAATGTCACTGAAAGCTTCTTGCCGGCATTGACTGCCAGGTTGCGTGTCCGGGCCTGAAGCCAAAATCTGGTGACAAAACTCATTGGTTTCCTGAACAGGCATGTTCCAACAAACGCTACTAGGGGCTCCTGGCCTAGGACGCTACTAGGGGCTCCTGGCCGTACTACTAAGAACAATTTTCGCTATTAGAAACAAGACATACAAAATTGCCCCTGAACAAAACTTAACTCAAAAGTTGCGGTCCCATACTGAATCTCAATTGGTTTTCCACTGATCTACAGTATTCAAACCCATCTGGAACTTAGATGATGTTTGTGCCTGGCCCCTTATGCAGGAATTCCGAACTCAAATAAACCAATAGAAAAACAGGACATCCAAAATCAAAAATGAAAAGAAGTATAAGGAGGTAAAATCAAACTCGTTCTGTGATGTCTTCATTCTTTGAATATTTGCTCGTTTTCAACCTCAATGAAGCTGCTTGTTCAGCATCTTAAAGATGCCTTCTCAAAAAGCCATACACAATGAATATACAATGGCATATGTCATATGTTGTGCAACTGAATGTCTGAATGACAGGAACCCATTGTATATATAATCATATATATATACATGGGCATTTCTATTGGGTATCCTGAATGAGTCAATATAGAATGACAAAATTCAATTTCATCTTAAGAAACCGCATTGAATCGGATACGTAGCAACGTGTACCTTTTTTCACATGCTGCATTGCTAACACAATTAATAGCGATGGCCTTCAACCAACATTATATGTAGACCATGACCATGACATGTCATGCAAGTGTCCGAAGGCAATGTTCCCGTTCACTGGGGGCCAATGTCCCCGCGTGAACGGGCAAAATGGGTCATGCGGATACCCCCTGGGGCAAACAACCGAGGGGGTCGTTGCAACACATCTGGAGCCCACAATAGCGTCCTTGCTCCTAGTAGTGATGCCTTTTGCTCCTAGTAGCTTCTTGCTCCTAGTAGTAGGGCCAGGAGCCCCGGAATTGCTTTCAACCCGCTTGAGATGTCAACATGCTTCAACAAGCCACAGCTACCATTCAAACCAAAACGACAATTAAAACACGCAAAAACGAGCGAAAACAACACATACTGAAAAGAACCTCTTGAGGAGAACTACTTTTAAAACGGCATCTTCTCCAAACTCACAATGAAGAATGAAGGCTGCTTTGGGAATTGACTTCGTGAAAAATTTGGTGATTTGCAATTGCGGATGTACTTTCAGCGGTACTGGGGTACTTTCGTTACCCTGATAAATCTGAGAGCGTGGCATCAGGCTTCACCATATTCCTCTTCGGTCCTGGACACGTATCACTTGACATGTTGAATGTTAAAATCTCGCGCAACAACATCTCAGAAATGGACAAATAGACCATCCGACAAACGCATTGTTTCGTTGACAGTGGGCCAAACAAAGCAAGTGTTCTGCAAGCATATCACATCGACAGTCCATGGGTGTCCTGTTGATGGGGGAAACCCCACAACGCCATATTTCTGGCTAGCCTGAAATGTACGTCCTGCATTGAAGCACAAAGCAAAGGAAACAACAATTCGAACAGGGACTGGGAACATTGTTCCAACGTTTGCTGCACAAAGCTCGGACACCTTGCACTTGGTCGCCATCGAAACTCACACGACGAGTTTCTCTTTTTGGGCCTCCAAATGAGAGTCTCATGGTCTCAATTGTGATCGATTTGGGTTCGGAATATCTAGTAGTAACAAGTACATCGCTAGTAGTAACAAGTGCCTTACTAGTAGTAACAAGAAGCGAACGTAGAAACAATAAGCTAATAGCTTCTTGTTCCTAGTAGTATGGCCAGGAGCCCCTAGTAGCGTCCTTGCTCCGAACTGATACAACTTTCCAATCTTCAAGTCTGCAGAACTCTGCCACCGTTGTGTCTTTGCCGTCTCTTTGATGTGGCCTCTGGCTGCTACAGCCGCGCTGCTGGCCCCTTTGGCTGGGCTCTTTTCACGGCCTTTCGATCTCACACTTCCTGCCACGCCTGCTGTTCAACCCAAGTGCGCACTGGTGCACTGGTGCACATGCATTGCAAGCATTCACAAATTGTGTTTACCGTGTTCCTGTTCGCCTCCAGCATCGTCATTCACGGCTTGTACGACGGATTGTGTTAGCTCTGAGGCCGTCAAGTAGGAACCTTAGAGCCTGGTCGACCAGGCTTTTGTGTTTGCAAAACAATTTTGAAAAATTACTATTCAAAATGCCCAACAGCTTTGCACAACAAACATGCGCACTTTGATATTCATTGAATTCATTGAACCTGCCAAGCAGCGTCTGAGTTCAGTTCCGCGAGGGCGCTTGCATGTTGGGCAAAGCGATATGGTAGGTGAAATTCTTGGTTCACTACAAATCTGGCATGTCCAGATTGACCCTGTTTCCACCTCAGGATTCCTTGGCTGACGAAGCATTCACCAACCTGGGTGAATTGAAACATTGGTTTGGACACGTGAGCAACTTCTCTTGGACAAGCACTGAAGGATTCAGTTTGTTTCGGAGTTCTTTTGCATCTCTTCCCTGCAACGGTTTCATGCAGCCGCGTTACATGAAAACGGCAGAGGCAGAAGAGGACAAACAGCACGGATTCAGTTCATCCACCCACGTGGCCAAAGGAATGTCGGTCCTGCAAGAAAGGTTGCGTCTGCAAAAAGGGGGGCGTCTTAAGAAGCTACAAACTAGGTAGGCAGTGAGGTAAGATTAAGCAGCTAGTAGCATGGGGTATACAATAAAAATAAGTAGTAGCCGCTACGACGCAGAAGGGCTCAGTAGCTTTTTTAAGGAAGCTCCCCCGGCCGGAGGGCAGGGGGGATCTTTCCTGAAGAAGTCCACGTGTCAAATTGTTAGGGAAGCTCAATTGAAAAGGCATTGTTTCTTTTCTTTGAAACATTTTCCACGACTTGCTAAGCACTGTTGAGCCTTGCTTTGTGCCTTTGTCCTGTGATCGAACACGTTATCATCCCAACACATCTCTAGAAAAGAATGCGTCAGGAGCAAGGACGCTCCTAGGGGCTCCTGGCATCGCTACTAGGGGCTCCTGGCCTTACTACTAGGAGCAAGAAGCTACTAGGAGACATCCAAGGAATCTAGCCCACCTTCACGGCCTTTAAGGTACCTTAACCCAGACCTAAAAAATGGTCCCATCCTCCATGGTGAGTTCGGAAGCGTCCTCCGCCTCGGTGTGAAGAACAATCATGTCCTCATGTGCATGTCCTTCCGCTACAATCATTTGAGGCGTGTTGGATCTTGTCCAAACACTTCAACCATGAAGCAACAAGCAACTTCATCCTAAGCCGAGCCATTCACACCGAAGGCAGGTGATCGGCAAAGCCTTCGCAAGCAACGCGCACATACAACATCAACAACACGACACAACAGTTTCTGCATTCTTCTGCAAACTGGACAAGCTAAAGCACTTTTGCCTCCCTTTGGCTTCGCTTGTCGCGGCAGCTCCTGTGCTAGCTGCGAGACAAAATTCCGTGGCCCATCTCCTTGACCTGAAGCACTTGCCAGGGTTCTTCAGGTACTACGAGTATTAGGTGGAGGCCATCGCTAGTAGGAGCAAGGACGCCACTGGGGGGTCCTGGCCTTACTACTAGGACCAAGAAGCTTAGGGACAAAGGGCATCGCTACATGCAGCAGCAACCCCACCATCATTTGATTCTCTCACATGTACGCGAGCTTTGTGCATTGGACAGCACTGTTTTGCAGCTCTATATTGGACCAGTCACGCTGCTCGACGCCAGGCACGTTGTTGGGTCCAAGTACCTCCACAATACAATGCATAAATCTGGATAACTTTGGCTCCAACTCAATCAACATTATATAAGGGGATGCGGTGGCTTCATCTGCAGTTCCTAACACGCGATGTTTGTTCGCATTGTTCCCCGCGCAGACCTTCCAAAAGATCTCGCGAGGAAAACAATTCAACACTAACGTATCGTATCTTGAACTGGCCCCTACCGCAACAAATACACAGCGGTGGCCCAGCCTCTGGGCCAGTAGTGTCCACTGTTCGCTGTGCTGGCTGTGTGCCAGCAGCCCCCATCTATGGGACGATCAGCATCATGCGGTAGCGCCCAGTAAGGCAATCAGGGTAGTCAATTTCATCAGTTGGAAACTTTGCAGTTGAAAATTGTTCGTTTATGAACATCTTGGAAGGTATACTTATTGAAGAACACATTATAAAACCGATATAACATGCCCTCTTCCAAATACAAGGACACGAGGTGCACCTTGACATAATATCCTAACCTTCTGTCTGTCCCTTTAGTGTCGGAATCTCTAGAGTCCAAGTCGGAGTGTCGGAAACGCAAGCGAAAGAAGAGAAATGGAAATCGAATCCAAACAACATCATATTTGTCTGGACTCTGGACAAATATGTCCACCAAACCAATACAACTGTCTTTGGGTCTTGATGTTCTTTCTGATCTCTGCAAACATCAGATTCAATCTGCCAAGACTGTGCGATTTTGGTGACAGGAAACATGAAGAAATGAGAAAGAGTTCTTTAAGACTTGCAGAAGGGTCCGAGGTTGGGGGACCTTGGGAACACAGTTTCGGTCTGAGAGATTTGAGAAAGCTTTGTGAAGGACTCGAATGACTAAACATGCTTTGAGTCTTGAATGCAACCTGATAGTGATGGCCTCCACCCTAATAGCGATGGCCTCCAACCTAAGAGCCAATCAGAAGCGTCTGCTTTGTGTTTTTTTTACACTGGGTCGGTCTGCTGAGTCGCTTGGTTTTTGTCAGAAGCATCCTCTAGCTTCTTCCATCCACCTTCTCACGCAGCTCCTCCAATGAGAACCGTTGATGGTTGGGGAAGTTGTCAGCAAAAACACCTTCTGATGTTATTCCGATAATGCCCTCGGCTACTACGAGGAGTAGGTCAGACATAGGAACGAAAGCCCATTCACAAATTGGGAAGTCAGGATCCAGCCCACGTGTAGCCTTCGATCTGCCAGCCCAACCAAATGTTTGGGGCGTCTGAGCATCTGCTTTGAAAAGCCCAAGGCACCTGCTGTCTTGACTCTCTGACCATGTCAAAATCTCCTGGAACCATAAGTCGGCAATAAGTTGCCGCAAATCCGGATGAGTCAACGGCAGCACACCATCTGCACCTGATGGAAGGATGGCAGCTATGGCCAGTCGCCATGGACGAGCCCATGCTGCACATTCTCTCTTTACATCGTCCTGCGCGTTTTCTCTTTCTCCTTCTTTCACATCCCAATGACGTCTATACGTTGGCTTTCCATCGGAGCTACGTCCTATTCGAAGGTTCCCGCCCTCAACATCCGCAGGCTTCTTTCCCGGTCCCTCATCTTTCTCGTTCAACTTGTTCTCCTTCTTCTCCAAACTTCCTGGTGCAGTCTCTTTGTCGCCATTTCTGGCATCAAATGATTTCTTTCTGCTGCGGCTTCGTCGCCGGCTTTGGCGACTGCCTCGGCTACCGCTGCGGCTGCACCGTCGCCGCCTGCGACGACTGTGGCTGCGGCTGCGGCGACTGCGGCTGCGGCGGCGACTGCGGCGACTGCGGCTGCGGCGGCGGCTGCGGCGGCGACTGCGGCGGCGACTGCGGCTGCGGCGGCGACTGCGACTGCGACTGCGGCTGTGCACGCTGCCACGGTTGGATGGATCCTTTTTGTTGTCAATCCCAAAGAGCTTTCCAGGATAGTCCACCATTCGCTCTAACTCTAAAGCTTTTCGCCGGATGGACTCATCCTTGCAATGCTCCTTGACCAATTCGACTGACTGCTTGAACTTCCAAGCTCCGCGGTCGCCGCTCGCAGTGCTCGGAGTGCCGCTCCCAGTTACCTTAAAGTTCTTCTCACCAATTTGTGTCACAGCCTCCTGTGTGGCTTCTTCCAGCAGCTGCATGAGGCCCAGCTGAAGAGTCATCTTGCCACGGTGCCGAAGCTTCTCGTAGGCCGTCTGAAAAACAGGGCCTGTCAGGGGCCTGAAAAAGGGGGCTTGTCTCAAGACTGTCAGGGCTAAAGTCCTAGGAATATCAGCAAGTTGGTATCAATCGGCATGTCTTGTGCGAATTGTACACTACAGTATATGAATTCTGGTGTGAAACACCGTGCATAACTTACCGTCCTGAGGATTATGTATGTGCAGGTGGCTGTGAGTTCTTGGGGGTCCATTATATATAGTTGGTGCCAAGTGGACTCAATAACAGCATTGGCGAAATCGCGCGACCATTCGGACCTACATTCACACTGCCTACCAAGTTCAAAACACTTGGAAAATAGCATAATTGAGAACAGTGTCCAAATCCTGCGGGCCTGAGTGGAGCGTCCAAAAACAGTTAAACTAAGAAGGTCTTCGGGACCGTTTTCAACATTGCCGCTGCCGTCTGCTTGCCATAGAGGAGTTTGCGACGGCTGCAGTGAAAACAGCGACAATGCGGCCAGTTTGACAGTTTCTGTTTAACAATGTGGAGCCCCTAGTAGCTTTTTGCTCGTAGTAGTACGGCCAGGAGCCCCTAGTAGCGTCCTTGCTCCTAGTAGCGTCACTTTGTGAGCGGTGGGTGCCCAGCTGCTAGCTTTTGCAGTTCCATGTTTCAATTCACAATTCTGTGCAGGTAGCTTTTGGCAAAACTAAAGAACGTATATGTGTCTTTCTTTTCCAAACATGTTTGGCCCCTTTTTTTGTTTTGCTCATTTGCGTTCGGCCTGAGAGGAGCGTCCAGTAAGTATCCAGAAGTTTCTGCGCCTTGGTGGCATCATCCATCGGCCCCTCATCCTCCGGCGATGGAGTCACCTGACGGCGTCTAAAAGGGTAGACGAGCAAAGAGGGAAGACGAAGGTTTAAGCGATGGCCGGGTTTGGTTTAAGGCTTCAGGTTCAGTATTGACACTGGACATAAAGCTTTTCACCTTTTCACCTTAAGTCGACTCTTGTCTACGAGCAAAGGGCATCGCTACTAGGCTCCTGGCTTTACTACTAGGAGCAATGCTATGCATTGTAAAACACGCATTTTGAAAGGTACTTCTTTGGTGGATGTGATTATACAGTATCTTCGTGTGGCCGGCGCCTCATCTGCATAAGCGCGGGGTTCCACGGGCGTCGGGTCGCTGCTGTTGTCCCAAACATGGCATTGCAATCGCTCACGGAAATCTTGCCACAAGGCGAGCTCTGGGAAGTTCTGCAGGATCTTTGTCCAAGCAGGTCTGCATGAAAGCTCCCCAAATTGACGAGTCTCAATCAACAGCAAGCGATAGAGAAGGCAAAGAAACTGTGCACGATACCGCTTGGGCGCGCAATCATATGAAGCCCTCACGGATGTTCCTCCAAACAGCTCCAAGAGAGTTGTCTTTTTAAACCATTCAGATGCCAATAGCAAAGCCTTTTGTGAGTTCAAAGCTGCAGCTCTGTTCAATGCCACCCGATCTATGTGGCCTTCACCGGCAGTTGTGCTGACTAAGTGCAGCAAGCGGCAAGCCTCGGCAAAGATCGCTTCTTGCGGTCTTTCCAACATTTCAGCGGTAGCAGTGCGCCCGGTAAAGGCAAATAGGGTGTTCAATACATGTCGTTGCTCCGCAAGAGCTTGCCGGAGCTCATCAGCAGCCTCCGAGAGTCGTTTGAAGGCGCTTGCTGCGACAGCTTTCTCTTTCTCTCTTTCATTCTGCCACTTGTCCGGGTGCAAAACTCTGGCCAGTTGTCGGTATGCATAAGCGACATCTGATTCCCCATAACCACCAAGATGGGCACCGCCGAGCCGCAGAACTGCCTTGGCGATGTCGAGAAACAAACAGGTCAACACTTCCATCCGCGGCGCAGCTAAATAAATCCTCAAACTTTCAAATCAAACAACTGCCGTAGCTGCATAGCTGAAGTTCTGAGGTTCCAGAACTTGAGAAGTGGAAAGTAGGGTCGGAAAGAGCCAGGATGGGCCAGGTGCATCAGGCGGAAGGAAAAGCGCTGCGCACGTGTGTCAGGATGGGCTGCCTGCAACAACTACCGTGAAACACTGCCTTGGATTGCTGCTTGGAAGCGGTGTACTTGATGGTAACGGTGGTGATCAGTGCGAATTCGATCTGAGCTAGCGCTTGTGTTGGTACCGTGGTGCGGTAGTAGTGGTGGAGACATAGCTCTGGCTGTGTCGCTGTGGGGCTGGTGCCATAGTTGGTTATTATATAGCATACTGATGTGGTGGTGGTTGTGGCAGCGGTGGTAGTGGCGGGACTTGTGCTGGCGGTGGTGTTTCCAGTTGTGGTTTTTATGTTGCTGCTAGTGTGGTGGTGGTACTGGCGAGGCAACACTGGATTTAGGGAGGCACGGACACGCACACACAGACCCATCAACGGTCGAGTGGTTGGTTGGCCGTTCTCCGGGCCCTGAAGCAGCATGCTGTCTGATGGGCAGTATTTGTCATTGGGTAATTCCAATAGGACACGAACGAATGCGCGGGACGAATGCCCTTTTGAGTAAAGACCAGAATCGACGAGTCCAATTGTTTCTCATTTCGCCGACGAATCCGGGAAAACAATAAGCTACTAGGAACAAGTGCATCGCTACTAGGAGCAAGGGCCTTACTAGTAGTAACAAGAAGCTATTAGAAACAAGAGAAAACTTTAGGACCTGGTTTCACGTGGCATGCTTGCCCGCTGAAAGGTCTTCGCCACAGCAACAGTGACGATCCACTGCTGAAGGTTCTCTTCAAGAAGGCGGCAGGCTGGGTCTCGACTTAGGCTGTGTCAGGGCAAAAACCCACCAACTTCATCAGCAGGATGCTTCTCCAAAGGAGAGCGCTGAGAAAACCAAAACATGAAAAAAAGTTAAACTAAGGACCGTGTAAAACCCGACGACGTGTTTATAACAAATGGAGGCTCAAGCGGAAGGATTTACCAAACCAAGCACAGCGCGTGAGCAGAACCATCCCTAAAGAGCGAGCAAAACGAACGGGGTGTCAGTGAGTGAATGCCAGTGAGTGTGTGCGAGTGTTGTGTGAGAGCGGGCAGGCGGGCACACCAATGCGGGGAAGAAGAAAAGAGTGAGGGTGAGAGTGAGAGGCAAAAGGGATCAAAAGGGCAAAGGAGAAAAATCGACAAAGCAAAGGAACAAACGAAGCAGAACTGCGCGAAAATGCAGCTACAAGAAAAAGTTGAAAAACAGGCAGCTGCGGTAGTGCAGGAATAAGCCTGTGCAGCCAAAACGGTGAATGAAAGCAGCAAGGGAAACATAAAAACCAAAAGAAACATACCAAACAATAGAAAACTTGCCGCCTATCGGAAGACATCGCGCGCATGCAAAACACTACTTTTGTTTGTCGGCTTGTAAGATCGTTGTTTCTGAGGTCTCAGAATTCGCAGGGAAATGCAGCTCTAATCCATTCCGTTGTCTGGGGCGTTTCCTAATGCCCAGGATTGGCTCTTAAGTTTTCCTTTTCCTATCCTGAAATCTAAGAGTGGAAAGCAACAAATTCTGTAAAAGGAATGCAATTCCATGCGCAGTGGCTCGGCTGGGCAGACCCACCCCTTAAAATTGAATCATCCAGTGGGGTGGGGTTCCAAGTCGGTGATTCAAAAAAAATACATGTTGGTTTATTCATAGCCACAGCTTTGTGGTTTGTATTGGTTTATTCTGACAATTATATGGAAATCAGTCTGGAAATCGATCGTACAAATACCATTCACAAGAAAAAAGGCTGAACGATCGGATCGTTTTTGGGATGATTTCCACCAAAAGGGCTACCCACACGCTTCAGGCGAGGTGGCCAAAATTCACACCAGCCACTTCAAATCAAGGCTCTTGTTTGCGGCGCCTGACATATAGCTGGAAGCGCTCAGTGCTTTTCTCCATCTCAGTCCATCTCTCCATTCTCTTCGGTGGGCATTGCGCCGGGATCGCTGGGCGCCTCATCTGCTACGTCCACTACTTCCTGCTCGTGTGCGTTCGCATTCTCCTTCTTTGGCTCTGCCTTCGCCTTTGGGTCTGTCTGTCTTCTTCTTCTTCTTCTTCTTCTTTGGCTCTGCCTTTGCCACTGTGCTCGGCTTTGGGTCTGCCTTTGGTTCCTCCTGGGGCCATTCCAATGGCATGACGCATAAATACAACAAGAAGAAAATCATGTGTGACCAAAACGCCCCTGCAGCCTCCGAGCTGGTGGATGGACAGGTTGCTGAGCTGACTTCTGAGGCGGCATCGTCATCAACCTCGCGACAGAAGCCCGACGGCCCACTGGCAGCCGACCGTAAAATCTTCGAGGGCTCGGCCGATTGTTCGCCCGCGGAATCTGCCTGCGACGCACACTAGAGCGACTTGAACGAACGTGTCACGCCCCCCCCTCGCAACATCCTAGCCTCTTCTTCTTCTTCTTCAACTTCCAGGTCCGGGGTGTCCAACGCAACTGGGAAGATCTAGCCCGCAATCCGACAAGAACCTTAGGATCAAACCGCTTCCTCCAGGTCGTTTCCAACGTCGAACATTTCCTTGGTGGGCGCCCGCGCGACAGGAGCAGCACATGTTTGCGTCGAAGCAAATGAAACCAAATGAGCGCCTGGCGCCATACAGGCCGTCCTGGAAGCCAATGTCTCCATCATAGTCTCCTCCATAGACCTTTGACGCGCTAGCCGCAAAAGATCGGCCATCCAAAAACATTCAAGCGCCCGACATCCAAAGAAGGGGAGCTCTCCTGCCGTTCTGCAGATGTCAACGGTCATGAACTGTGACGGAGAATGTAAAGGAAACTTATGGGGGGTATCTTGTGGGAAGCCCCTGTCACCACCCAGCCTGGAATAAGAAAAATTACACCACCGTAGACCCCAAACAGTTTGTGCTTTTCATGCTTTTCACATCGAAACTAGAGCTTGCGACGTCCAGAGCTGGGAGACAAAGGATTGCGTACAGAGCGGGCGGACACATCTTAAGAAAGAATTGAGAAGCCCCAACAGCAAACCTTTTGGGGAATTATTCTTCAAGTGCGAACATGATGCTGGTCATGCTGCTCAACCAGCGGGGAGCTGACCACGGGAGGACAAGAAATAAAAGCATGAGGAGCGAAGGATGTGACATGAAATTGATTTTTGGCGCCGTATGCCCTCCGTCCCAACTGAACAGAGAGATCGCTGCCACTCCGCCGAAATCCAATCCGGTCATTCATCCAACGCTTGCCCGAAAAGGAAAACAAAGCTGAGAGAGTTACACAGCGGCAGGAATGCAATCCCGGAGACAGTCACGCACCCCTTTCAAAGTAGCAAGAACCTTTCACAGGTGAACCTGTTCCAGCGGACAGGGCAGAAAACACCAGCGCAGCAAAAAGAAAGAAATCACATGGGAGACAAATGAATAGAAATGCTACATGGCCAGCAGAAAAGCCAGCGGAAAAGGGCGGACACCAGCAGTGACAAACCTGGGAAACAAATGAATAGAAATGTTGCATCGCCAGCGGACAAGGGCGGACACCGCAAGCGACAGACCTGGGAGACAAATGATGAATAGAAATGACACATGGCCAACGGAAAAGGGCGGACAGCAGCAGTAACGGACCTGGGAGACAAACGAATAGAAATGCTTCATGGCCAGCGGAAAAGGGCGGAGACGACCAGTGACAGGCCTGGGAGACACATGAATAGAAATGCTGCATGGCCAACGGACAAGGGCGGACACCAGCAGTGACAGACCTGGGAGATGAATAGACACGCTGCGTGGCCAGCGGGAAAGGGCGGACACTGGCAGTGACAGACCTGGGAGACAAATGAATAGAAATGCTACATGGCCAACGGAAAAGGGCGGACACCAGCGGTGCAGGGCTGGGAGACAAACGAATAGAAAAGCTACATGGCCAGCAGAAAAGGGCGGACACCAGCAGTGATAGACCTGGGAGACAAATGAATAGAAATGCTACATGGCCGCGGAAAAGGGCGGACACCAGCAGTGACAGATGTGGCAGACACATGAATAGAAATGCTACATGGCCAGCAGAAAAGCCAGCGGAAAAGGGCGGACACCAGCAGTGACAAACCTGGCAAACAAATGAATAGAAATGTTGCATCGCCAGCGGAAAAGGGCGGACACCGCAAGTCGGACCGCAAGTGACAGACCTGGGAGACAAATGATGAATAGAAATGTTGCATCGCCAGCGGAAAATGGCGGACCAGCAGTGACAGACCTGGGAGACAAATGAATAGAAATGTTGCATGGCCAACGGAAAAGGGCGGACACCACCAATGACAGACCTGGGAGACAAATGAATAGAAATGCTACATGGCCAGCGGAAAGGGGCGGACACCAGCAGTGACAGACCTGGGAGACAAACGAATAGAAATGCTACGTGGCCAGCGCAAAATGGCGGTCACCAGCAGTGACAGACCTGGGAAACAAATGACCAGAATTCCTGCATGGCCAAAGGGCGGACACCACCAGTGACAGACCTGGGAGACAAATGAATATAGATGTCGCATCGCCAGTGAAGGGCGGACAGCATCTTAAGAAAGAATTGAGAACCCCTAAAAGTAAACTGTTTGGGGAAGAAGTGGGAGACAAATGCAAGGAAGTGGGAGACAAGTCAGCCGGGACAAATGAAAAGAAGAGGGAGACAAATAAAAGGAAATGGGAAACAAATGGAAGGAAAACTGGCCGCCACACCAAACGCCTGAGCAGTTGGCAAGCAAAGCCACCCCTTTCCCACGCAGCTCGAGCTAAGGTTGAAACACATAGACCCTCCCTGAAAGAACAGCGTGACGTGGATTGGCCGGCGACACACCTGAGGGACGCGTGGCATGTCACTTGTTC